ACAACACCCTTTTGAGTTCAGCAAGATAACAGTTAATGTTCACAGATTGCAAGGCTGGTTATTTGCTAACTGTTATTATGTGAAACAGCACAGAGAGTAATTCATTGGTAAACGTGAGTTCATCTGGGAAAGAAATCAGACTTACATAAGGGCCTTAGGGTGGGATCTTCTTGTTAGATGCACCACATTGGGGTACCATACTGTACATGTGATTGTGAGTGATAAGCACCCAGTTTTGCATGACTTTCTGAAACGTTATGGCTTACATTCTCAATTTGATTGACTGGGGACGAAGTCTGATACAACCTCCAAAGCAATTCTATTAGCTCGAAGGTGATGTGGCAGGTGTGGCTCATTCGAGGCAGGGATTCAATCTCTTTGTCTCAGGCACTCAGGTGAGGTAATTTGCCCAAGGGTACAACAGCAGTGTCTCACCTGGAATCTGAACCCACAAACTTCCAGTTACATGTTCAGAACCCAAACCACTGCTCCCCTGCTGTGTCTCTGGGATTCTCCCAGTCTCCAGCTACATAGTGCCTCCTAAAAAACAGGTCAATTCTGCAATGCCAAAGGCTGACCTCCTGCCAGGAGCTGCAACTCTTCAACACTACAAGGTGCCCTAGGAGGTTATATCACCATAATAAAAAACAATTATATTTAAATTATAATGACATAAGAGTGAGGACAATATCTTTAAATGAGCTCTGATAGCTTCTGTGAATTATAAATGTGAATGAACTTTATGTGCATAGAAATAATGAGGTAACATTAAATTGCTGGGATGCATAAGAAGAACTATTGCATTACTCGTCCTTCGGATGAGATGTCTGTCCTTCGGATGAGACGTAAAACTAACTAACTGTCTCTGGTCATTAAAAATCCCAGGGCGTTTCTCGAAAAGAGTAGGGGTGTAACCCAGGCATCCTGGACAAATTTCCCATTGGCCCTTACCAATCATGGCCTCCTAATAATCCCCATCTATGAATTGGCTACACAACTCTGCTCTCCTCCCCACTGATAGCTGATGTGTAGTGAGTGTTCTGGTACACTATGGCTGCCGTCGCATCATCCAAATGGATGCTGCACATTGGTGGTGGTGGAGAAGAGTCCCCATTACCTGTAAAGCACTTTGAGTGGAGTGTGCAGAAAAGTGCTATATAAGTGTAAGCAATTATTATTATTACAACAATGGATTTTAATGGTGTGCTCTCTTTAGCTAGTCAGAAAACAACCTCTTCTTTTTGTTTCTGTAATTTCTTAATTTTACTCTTTTTTTAGGTGACTTGTTCACCTTGATTGGGTGTCTGCTGTGCTGCATGGAACAGACAAGACAATGTCTGTATTCTTTTGTGTAAAATTAGAAAAGGGCTCTGTCATGACACACACCTGGTCAGTTCCAAGGCCTTTTCTATGAAGCTGCACAGGAATAAAATTGACCCATGAGAAAGAGCTGATTTTATAGAGCTGTTTCTGTCTGAGCATTGCTAAATAGAGAATGCAGAGCTGCTCGCTTTGTGGTTGGCTAATTTCCTGGGGAAGGTGTGTGTGGGGCTGAGCAGCGATGTGCAGAAATAAATTGACATGAAATTCAAGCTGTGAGAAACCTGTACTTTGTGCGTGAGGTTTCAGTCTCACTCAGTCCTACTCATTTCAAACAGGCTGCGCACTGTATGGCCAGGCAGCCAGGAACACCACAGCAGGTTTGCGGTCCTCTGAGGTGAAATGCATGTCTCTTTCACCCTCGTCAGCTAATTTGCTTAGTAAATAACAAACATGTCAAATCTGTCTGACTTTGCAACCTTTCAGCCTTTTCTGGGTAACGCTGATTAGAACTAAACAGAGTCCTTACTGAGACAGAATGATAAAGCATTGTGTAATACCTGGTGGCAGTTGGAGTGGAGTAGCATTGCTTTACTTTTAAGAAGCTGGTGTTGCAGAGCTGAACTTGTTTTGTTCATTGCTTCCGAGCAATGGTTCTGTCAAGTATAGTAATAAAGAGCTGCCCCCCCTCAAGGGATAACTACAGCAGAGACTATGGTAGAGGCATACCTGGTGATCAATATGACACTTCTGAGGTGTGCCTGCCCCTCAAACCATTTGTGTGATTAGTAGTTTTTTAACAAGGTGTAAAGATTTGTTTGCAAAAGGAAAACTCCACCACCTAAACACCACACAAGGTTGTAGATTTTATTTTATTTTGCTTGTATGTTCTCTTAAACAACAGAGGTCCTGCAAAATGTCCTTTGGGTTCAATGAACAAGGAGACTGTGTAAGTAAGGGCAATGCATCATTCAACAGAAGACAGAAGCAAATCATAAAATGGGAAAATCCAAAAACGAAACTCAATGTACAGTACAAACAATATATTCTAGATATTTTGACCTCAACACACTAAGTGTGTTGGTTAAGCTCAGGCCAGCTGATGTAATACTGATACTATAATACTGATGATTGTATTATAAGGTTTTCTTTTTGAACAAGCATGCATTTCAATTTATATGTATATTTCTTAAATAAAGACTCTGACAGAAACATTTACAGCAATAAACTCCTGATTGAATATGGAAAGAGCTAACTATAGAGAGCTCTATAGGGAGGGCTATTTAAAGATTAGTCTTTGCACAGTGCTGACTCTCGCCAGGTAGGAAGGGATTTAGATGGCATTCACAACACAGACATATTGCCATCAGTTCTCAGCAGAAAAAATAATCCAACCATTAATTTTCTGTCCACTTTAACCAGTACAGGATCATGGAGCAGCCGGGACATATTCCAGCAAGCAGTGTGTGCAAGGCAGGGCTGCCTGCCTGGATGAGCTGCCAGTTCTTTGCAGGGTACACACGGACACACACACACTCAACAGGGTCAGTTTTCCTAGAAGTCACAAGTAGACCTACAAGTATATCTTTGTGGGAGGAAACCAGGGCACCCAGAGGAAACCCACTTGAACACTGGGAGAACATAGAAACTCCATGAAGGCAGCACCCAAGAATCCAGAATTGAACACAGGGCCTTCATGCTGTGCGCCTCTGTGCTGCCCATCTGCTATCCTATTAATTCATAATTAATGTCACACTGGAAATACAAGCACTCTATCTAGGTGCAGCCATATTTCTTGAAAAGGTCTTTTTAACTCCGAGATGAACAAATAGATATGGTCATTGCAAGTTATTTGTTGTTATGTGGTGGAACACACATACATATAGAACAATCATTGTTATAAAGCTGATCTCTAATATAGAACAATAGAAATGCCACAATGACACACATAGCTCCCTAAGTGCGGAATTGAACCTAGGTCCCCAGCTCATTGGCAATGCTAACCACTGCACCACTGTGCTGTCTGGAGAAAATCATTTCTATAATAAATATAATTTATTTTATAATGTGTGTACAAAACACGCAAAAGTGCAGTTTTTAATAACGGCAACTGAACGCGTAAAGATTATTTCTCATTCTTTTTGGAAAAGAAAACAAAATCAATGTGAGGAAAATTTAGAAGCAAAGGAAGATTGTGAAATTGCTTAGCGCAATAGCTGTCCTGGAAGTCACTCATGGCTGGAAACCACATTCTTTTTTTTCATGTGGATGCAGGATTCCAGTTCATTTTTCAAGAAGTGATGCAAAAAGTTTGAAAAAAAAGGGTTTCTGTACTTCGCTGTAAAAAATAGGGTAGGCAGAATTCATTCTGCTGGGACCTGTGCTGTAGTCATTGTTGTTGACTGCTGGCAGAAATCACTAAAGATCACAATGAAAAGTGCCGACGCTGTGTCGACCACATTAATTTGCATAATACATTATTTTTTATGTCTTTTCCTTAATGGTTGGAATAGCCATTTTAGATTTTATTTAATAGCTTTCCTGTTTAACAGCTCGACTTACCATGACAGCTTCTGTGCTGTTCAAGGAGTATAAGGATGTGTTCATATACACTCAACACATTTGCCTGTTAAAGCCATTGTCTACTGACTTACTGCTAGCTCAACAGTGGCTTATAGGACAGTCTGCATTGATTAGGGGAAAGAAGCATCTCTCACTGACATCACTGCAAACTTGCAGGCACCCAGCAAGTTGTATTTCACAGGAAGCAAAGAACATCCAGTTTGGTTCAGGCCTTAGAAAATCCTGCTGATCTTCGGCCATTTCAGGAATCCCTATCATGCGATGAGGGTGAGGACATAGAGGGCGTCCATTCCTACAAGTACTTAGGGGTACACCTGGATGATAAGCTGGAGTGGTCTGGTAACACTGACGCCCTGTACAAGAAAGGCCAGAGCCAACTCTATTTTCTTAGGAGACTCAGGTCCTTGTGTGTGTGGTGTGTGTGGAACACTGCTACACATTTTTTTTATGAATCAGTGGTGGCGGCGGCCATCTTCTACGCTGTTGTGTGCTGGAGCAGCAGCATCATGACAAAAGATGCAAATAGTCTCAATAAACTTATCAAGAAGGCTGGCTCTGTGTTGGGGATGAGCCTTGACCCCATGGAGGTGGTGGCTGAGAGGAGAATGCTGACCAAGCTCACAGCCATCATGAACAACACCTCTCATCCGCTTCATGGGACTGTTACTGGGCAGCGGAGCACTTTTAGCAACAGACTGCTCCAGCTACGGTATTCAAGGGAACATTTCCGCAGGTCTTTCCTCCCGGCAGCTGTCAGGGTGTATAACGCTACCCTTGGCTAGGACTGTTAGCCCTTCATTTGCTCGTCTATGGACAGCATGTTTGCTCCATTGTACTTTTTGGACAATCAGTCTGTATAAACCTATGCACATTTTGCACATATTTTATTGTTTTTACAGTGACTATGATCATCACATTTTGCACACACCTATTTATTTATTTTTTATTTTTTATTTTTATTTGTTTTGTTGTCTTTTGTTTTACAACTATTCTGATGTCTGTTTTTGCTTGTCTTGGGCTGGACTACTGTAACACATCAATTTCCCTATGGGATTAATAAAGTATTATCTATCTATCTATGCCCATTAACAGAATGACCCAGGACCAGAATAAATGAGGTCTGGGCTGTACCCCAGCATTTAACCTGTTCATTTTCTTTACCATGCTTTTCTGTTTTTATTTCTGAGTTCTCAGCGGGGGACACAAACATGGATCAAAGTTTAAAAACGTCCTGACTTTTATTATGGCATAAAATAGAAAAAAGATAATTCACACAGAATAATATGAAAATGACACTAATAGCCTCTTTCTGCCTCTTAAAGGATAGACATTTTCCTGCTACTCCTGTAACAAGAGAGCATTTATGGAGTTTCCACTTTTCTCACTGCTTGTATCTCTCTCAGTCTTCTATTCAGCCCTTCTTCTCTCTCTTTCATCATACTTTCAACCGGTTTTCTTCTTCAAGCTTTTGAAATGGCCAGTCCAAGTCCTTGCACACACAGCATGACGTCAGTGGAAGGCATAAGTTCAAATACTGAATAAGGAAGATACCAAGCCCAACTGTAGTTCATCTAGCAGGCTGTATCCTGCACATGCCAAGCAGCCTACCCTAAAGCATTGCCTAGGAGCAGTTTTAGTCTGGACTGTCACATACAGATAGTAACTGTATCAAACAACAGGAACTGTTCATGCTTACTTTAACTGTACTAAGAGTAAGAGCAGAAAAGTACAACATTACACAAAATATGAACCACATTTAGGGTAGTAGAATTATTTCACACAGAATCGAGTTTTTAAAATGATTCAAAACGAATTCTTTGTGAAGACAAAATCTCTTATCATGTAATCACTAAGAGTTTCAGTCCATTCAGCAACTCATGAAGCTCTTGACCTGAGGACAATACTGAAGTGAGGGACACAGAGATGACTTGCTGAACCGCTTTCTTAGTCTCATTAAGACAAAGTAAGAAGAGATTATCTCACATTAGGAAAGCTCCAAAGACATTTTCAGCGCTCGTTTGCACTAGGATATTTTTAGTTTCAGTCACTGTAACAAAAATCTGATTCCCTTTTAAAAGGTAATAGATTCCACCAAGGAAGCTGTTTACTAACTCACCTTCCTTGTCATTTTTGCAGTAGGACCTGACAGAGCTCATCAGCTCCACTTCTCTAGAAACTGTCTGTGTTATCTTAAATACTGTGTGCTTGAAGGTTTCTAAGTGACCGGTTTTGCAATCTCTTTCACCATAAATGATTTTGGAATAAATGAAATAGTATCCCTCCTTCTTAATGACCAAAGCACCATCTTTGTAGTCCATTTCATAGGTGTAGGCATCTCCGTTTTGGGGCTCCCAGGACAGCTTCCCATCATTACTGGTGTTGAATTTACAGCCTGGAAAACAAGGCATGTTATTATTGATGGCGGTTTTACCTGATCTCAATTGCTAAAATTAAGATCTAAGCTACAGTACCTTTTTATTCTTCCTAATTGAAAATGATGCTGCCTGACAAAATGCAGAAAGAGGATGAATTCAGGTGAGATAAATTCAGGAAGGAGGATTTTCATGACTTTATCTTTCATTAATGTTTTTTTCTTATAGCAACTAAACAAACTTAAGGATCTAGTATACATAGTAGGAAAACTGGAACATGAATATCCATCCATTTTTTAATGGATCCTTTAGGTTTATTAAATTCAGAGTCACGGGGAAGCCAGCACCAATCCTAGCAGGTGGGAGGCACAAGGCAGGATGCACACACACACACATATATATATATTTATTTATTTAAGACTTTACGTTAGTAAGTCTACTTACTAAAGTAGTTTACTTTTGTGTTATGCTCACCCATGCTGTTATCCTGCCAGTCAAGTTACACTAACACACCAGCTAGCCACACCTCCACTCATCTGTCACTCAGTGCCTGTTGCTGTGGATACCAAACTGACAACCTGACAGACCTGGACCACCTAGATACTTTTTTTACCACACCAGCTTCAGGTGGTTCAGGATATTTAAACTCAGATCTGACAGAGCTCTGAGATCTCTGAGGCTTTTTGAAACAATTGTGGTCTGTTTCTACATTTGCTCCTTAGTTCCCTACCCACCTTGGTTCCTGTGTTCCTGTCTTGCTTGTTTGTCCCTGGATTCTCAACCTGAGCTTTGCCCTGACCACGTCTTCTGGATTTGTCTCTGTTATGAACTGTTTTTCACTTGTCTCCCCTTGCTTTATCTGACCCTTGCTTTGCTAAACCCGACCACTCTCACTGATTCCTCTTTGTGCCTTGGACTGTGTTTATTCTCTCATTTACTAGCTTTGATCTTCACCGGTTACGGCAAAACATTTGCCTGAAGTTTCCCTGTCTGCACACTGGCAGCAGTTTCCCCATCTGCACGCTACCAGCAGTTTCCACCTCTGTGCGCTGCCAGCAGTTTCCCCATCTGCACGCTACCAGCAGTTTCTACATCTGTGCGCTGCCAGCAGTTTCCCTGTCTGCATGCTGCCAGCAGTTTCCCCATCTGCACGCTGCCATCAGTTTTCCCATCTGTGTGCTTCCAGCAGTTTCCCCGTCTGCAAGCTGCCAGCAGTTTCTCCATCTGCAACCTGCCTGTGTCACGGACGTCCAAAGTGACTAACCGTGGGGAGCAGGAGAGCGGAAAAAGACCCATATGCGTAGCGGCGAGACGGGAAAAAGGCCCGGGCTCATTAGTGCAAAGAGTTCAGGAATGCCGTATTGAAACCTATGCCCTCAGGGAGCGGACATGGGGCGCCCTGGTGCTAGGCAGGTTTCAGGACATCCGAACGTCAATGCTGAGCGAGGACAGAGTGCAAGACCCAGAAATATAAAGCCCAAGGGAAAGAGGGGAACCGGAAGGACAGCAGACTGGAAACTAGGGACAGGACAGAGAAGGAGCACCCTCTGGCTGCAGAGGTGTGACAGTACCCCCCCCTTCATGGGCGGCTCCTGACGCCCATACAAATAAATGAGCTGCCCAGCACTGGGGGGAGGAAAAACCTCATTTAACTGAAAGGAAACCTCCGGGAGTCCACGGCTGAGAGCTACCCCCTCCTCCGGGGTATAAACCTTTATTGGGTGGAGGAAGGGTGGGTCGAGTAGAGCTCCGGAGACTTAAAACAAAAAAGTACACAAGCACAAACACAACAGACACAAAAAACCTGGGAAAGACCAGGGAGACAAACCACACAAAATAGGAACCAAAAACAGATAGGAACCAAAGTTCTGAGACACAGAGAGCAGAGGGGGAGTTTATTTATGCAATATCTCTTCTAAGCTCTTTTAACACTCATTCATCCCAACAAATTATAGGAAGCCTTTTTTGAACTCATCAAAGTGGTCAAAATGAGTAACCATATCATCATCATATTCATCTTCAATGAACAAATTGTTCAGAAACCCTACTAAAGATACATTAAATTACATTTGATTTTATAAGCGACCAAATATGGCTAATCAGGTCTGCTTAGTCAATAGTTTTTTTTCCTGTTTCTGGACATGGTGACCTCCTCTTTATACTTAGCTTAGCTGACACTGTGCCTGTGATATTTGCTTCCGTTAACATCATGAGGTTAAATCTGAGACACTTTTCCATTTTAGAGACAAATGGTTGGTTAACCATGGGCTCTACCTGAAAAGCATCTGCATGCTGCAAAGCATGTAATGCATATGACAGAGTTCAGCTCTGCTACTTGTGATTTTGCTAGAGTGAGGGCTCAATGTCCTGTTGATATCTCCCACGTGGTTACTTAGAAATGTAGGCTAAGTTTATGGTTATGGACAACACTGGCATTACAAGGTCCTCACAAGATGTCTAACACCATCTAGCAGTAGAATGTAAACCACATGATTACCACCACTAATTTTCTTTGACTGAAGACACTTTTATATCTTTTATATAAGGCAACTTACATTCAAACCTCCTTTACTGGGTTTTACTAAACAGTACAACAACAATCTTGCCTAAAATTTGAACCCACAACCTTCTTGGTATGAGTCCAGAACCATGACTACTGGCATGTTTTACACTGACAGCCTAAAAGGCCTCAATGTTTTTAGTCTTAAACATACAGTACAAATCTATGAAGGAACCTGATACAAGTACTATGTATTTGTATGGTCAAAGACTGACCCAGTGGACTTCTTCAAGTGCTAAACCCAGACCAGAGGACACAGGTAGAAACTATGTATTTGTATTGAATAGTATTTAAGATGGAGAAACATAAAGCATTTCTGTACACAGACTGTCACGTGATTTAAGAACATGCTATCCCAGCCATATTTTTAAAGCTGATACACATCTTTTTCCAAGACAAAAACTGGATGGGATCTTCAGACCCTTATTGGATGAATAGCATCATCCCATTTATAATCTCATGTTATTCAATCTAATTTTAAATGTTTTACTATGGCACAGTAAACATACTGCCAGACCTGCTGCATATTTTGACAAACGTGCAGCTAATTTTAAAAGAACACCAGCATTTCCAACTTATAGCCTGATTTTATCAGGTCTCAGGTCTCATCAGTACTGGAATGAGAGACCTTGATCAAAAAACGGGTTGCAGCTGTTGGTAGACTGAGAGGTGCCACTGTCAGGAAATCTACATTCCTGATTAGGGTGTTCAGCTTAGGTGTCTGGGAGGCTTCTGTAGAGAGCAGTCATGTTGCCAGTGCAGTCACCCCAATAATGTGGGTCCCATCCTATAGGTAAAATTAATTTTAGATCCTTTGGAATTAAAAATGTTGTAAAAACTAAAGGAATTATTATTATTACTACTACTGTTGATTGGATTCCGAAACAAAAGCTCTTACCTGTGACATGAGCTGAAGGCTTTGTCAAGTCTCTGTGCATATGTTTGATTTCTTCTGTATGGAATAGAAAGAATTACACAACTTAATGAGTCTTACCCAATGATGATAAATAAGCAAACAGAGAGTATGTTCACATGCACCGTGCACAACACAATAGAGTTATCTCAGGTGGCATCATGAAGCTCTATCTAGATTAAATATAATGCTGTTTACTCAGAATGAATATACTGTAAAAAAGAGATAAGAGATGGCACATGAGACTTGCAGAAGCTCAGTTTCTGCTGTCAATATTGTTTCTCATCAACAGTGTGTTCAAGCTACTGATTGCATTGGTTTTTCACCTTGCAGATTTTGTTGCAAACCTTTTCGAACAGTAGGAACAAAATACAATCATTATTTCCACCTTTATGCATCTTCTTAATTATGAAAGCAGTGCATCCTACTTAGACTTTTTAGAATGTTCAGTCAACATGGTAAGGATAGTATATTCCACGTAGTAATTTAAATGGATAAATGATTACATTAACCATTAAGTACCTTAAATACTACATAAAATATTTTGTAAAATGTTCAAAACTAAATGATAAGAAATGAAAGGGACATACCATGGATCTGTTTTGCATTTGTGATTTCTTCATTGTTGGCCTTATCTTGTTCCTATAAAAGAACTGCAATTATTTCTCTCTTCTCAGGGATTCTCATTAAAAATCAACAATAAATAACTGCGATTAAACTGGATCATCACAAGGGTCTGACACTCCCTCCCCCCAAGTTCTGTACACCAGAGTGGAGTAAAGTGTTGTTTAATAAGTTGCAGTAAAGAATAAAGGGATAACATAAACATCTGGGGTGTGGGATGGTTGTGCAGTTGTTAGAATTGCTGCTTCATAGTGTTGGTTCAAATCCATAGCTGGTGTGTGGAGTTCGTATGTTCTCCTGTGTTCATGTTTGTTACTACTGGGTGCTTTGATTTCCTCCCGTGGTCCAAAGACAAGCTGAGAAGTTAATTGGATTCTTGGAAAACTGGCTCTAGTGTGAGTGTGTTTAAGTCTTTTTCTGCAATGGACTGGCATCCTGTGATGTGTGTCAAATGTGTGTCATACTTGCTCCCACTGGAGCACTTTAGAAAGCGTTAGTGTCTTCATGGCATCCAGCAGAGCCTCAACTAGGTCAATCAGCTAGTTGCTGTGACTACATGATCAGGAAGGAGGTCTGTTAGACCTGCACACAATTGACGACCACACTTGTCTCATGGGGAACAGACTATTTACAGACTTCTCAGGGATTCTCATTAAAATGAGAATTTCTCCACTCATATCTTAGTTTTAGAGTTTTATTCTGAGCCTCACAGTTTTGTTCTCTAGGTCTGTGTTCCCTCTTTGTTTTATTTTCTGGATTCCCGATCTTGCTGCAATCTGACTTCACATTTTGAATTCTTCTTGTGCTTTGCTCCAGTGTCACCTTGGCTATCAACTTTGCTTAGCTTTCGACTACACTTTGGATCGTGTTTTCCTGCTCATCTACATGCTTGTTTGTCTGCTTGTCTGCCTGCATTTGGATTCGTCTCAGACCCTTGACTGCTGCCTTCTTAAAGTATAAGTAGCGTCTCTAGATAGATGAGCTGATTACCTCTACAGAGTTCTCTGTACTTTGAATACATATATACCTGACACTGCAGTCAGAGAGTGGCATAGTGTCAGTTAAACTTTTTTAAAAAGATCTATTTTCCCACTTGAATGAAATGAGGCACATAATCCTCTTTTAAAATGGATATTAAACAGAGAAATTCAACAGAAAGGTAACCTACTATTCACTACTCATACTCATATCTACTTAAGTGTGGGTTTACTATGCAATAAATGTTAAGATAGGTAAAAACTGAAATAAAACTCATTAAAACTAAAAAGATGAAAACTAAGAAAGGTCACAGAGTTGAAAGTTAATGTTTTGTAAGATATGGTTAAATTTCTGTCTAAGGGAAATGGAGCAAATTAAGCTTTAATGCTTAATATACTCACTGGCAGGGTACTTCATCAGCTTAGTATTACAAAACTCACTGACACTGATAGCTGGCATGTTCTTGAACTGCACCAGTACGATACTTTTTCTTTGTTTAAAAATCTTATATTCCATATGTAGTCTTTACACTATTTTGTTAACATTTCTCCAACATGATTCTCTACTAATCTGTCTCTTCCTGAGAGAGTCAGATATTCTGTGATGGGCTATCTTTGATTGCAAAACCTCGGACAGTGAGTAAGCATTGGGAAAGAGTTGGTGGATGTTCTGTAGTTGATGTGGCCAATAGTACTTCATAGATTCTACCCACGCCTCTTTGTTGTAAAAGTAACACATAGCTTTATCCAATGTGAGCTATTGGGCAATGGATTATTATGCGTTAGTGTTTATGTTGTTGGAACTGTTGCTTGGATAAAGTCTTTCAAATTAATCCAAGTAATGTTGGCCAAACTAATGTGCTGGGACCATCACTGCATGTCTTGTGTCAGGACCATGGTTAACCTACTGAATACATGTATCTCAGTTAGACACCAGAAGTAGAATGATAATTTATTTCATGCTCCAGGTGTACTTACATATGAAGTTCTTTTCTATATGAAATAAAAGTAACTAAGTGGGATATTGTGATGTAGTTTGTAATATTGTGTAGAGGTCCAAGCAGAAGCTTCTACATCCTGTTATTAGGTTGACTGGTGAAACAAACGCACTCCCAGATCAGACGCTGCAGGTTGTACTTACTGGGCTTCTCATCCGCAGGCAGTGAATGAGGTACCCCTCAATTACGACAGCTAGGAGCGCCAGGGCTATTAAGATGTAGAGCAGTTTCCAGGAGACCCGGCTCTTCCTCTTCCGAAGTTCTGGAGTCATGGATGCTCCAGCATCAGGGTCTGTCATTCTTAACTGTCAAAGTAACAGGATTGTTTTTCACACGATGCAATGGAATGCACTCACCTCTGAGAAGTTGAAAATCAGAATAAAATACATAATGAGAAATACAGAGGAGAACTAGTCAACGCAACAGCACCTGCTGATTTCAGGTTTAGAGTAGTGTGCTTGAAAGCCTGTTAACCTTCAAAGAAACATAAAATGTACACAAAATGCTTTCACAGCAAAACAAGCTTTTTGTTTTTCTGAATCCCCACATTGGTTGTGAAGTTGGTGAGGGGCACTTGTTCTTTAAAAGACTATCCCCTCTGGACAATGCCATTGAGAGACAGTTCTCTGAAGAGGGAAAATACCCCATTACTGTTTAACACTTGTAAAAATAAACTAGACTCCAAATAGCATATGACCACAGTGATTATTTTTGTATAAAACTTACTATGTTCTTGGAGTTACAGATAGATGAAATCCAAATAAATGGTTCTTTGGGCCAAAAGTTCATTTAGCATACTTTCTTTACATTGTGTTTCAGTGTAAGAATTTAGAGGTGTTATCTAACACAAGATAAAATCAAGCTGATTTTCCATTTTGTCAGTGAAAAAAATCACATCTCTTATTTCTTGCTTGGTCTGTACCTGGTGACAGTTGTTTCAAAAATGGGGAGCAAAGTGTGCTTAGATGGAAGCTTTGACAATTTCCCAGAAAATTTATCAAACTATTAATGAGTTTATTTTAAGGTGGTCCTCAAGATGTGCAAAAGAGCAGGGAACACTGAAATAAGCTGACTGGTCACATTGTGTAGACTTCCTTGCTGGCTGCTGAGGTTAATTTCAAATATCAAATTGAAGAGTGCTGACCACTTCCCATATGCTTAAGTGACAACGAAAGAGCTGGCTGTGTTTTTTCAATAAAGTAGTTCTGTGGTTTAACTTGGCACTTGGTAGCCTGGCACATACAAGACTGGATTGGACATACAATGCAGACTGTGCCCCAGATGTCTAGTTAATATTTGGCCCATTTAGTGCAGAGATAAAAGAAAATTTCAGCTGACTTTTGGAATGACAAAAACTGTCAATCAGTTGTGTACCTACAGTATGTGGTCCTGCTATAGCATATCAAGCAGGAGCTTTTTACTGATGAACTACTATTGAGCCCCAGTTAACAATGATGGATTTCAGAGGCATGACTGACCAACATGTATGTTTACACAAACAACCTACATATGTTTCCCCCCGTTCTGTGAGTATGATCGAACTGTGGAAATGTTGAGTACTGAACTTGACAAAATGAAGAGAGGATAATAAACATCGAGGAGAAGTTGTCACTTTGTTAATCATGTTATAATTTTTCAGACTGGATAAAGGCTTCTTGGTTTACATACAGTAATACAGAGACAGTAACTTTACCCATCTCAGCTGTGCCTTATCCACAAAAAAAATTAAAACAGAGAATCCAATTTTGGGGATGGACTGAAGCCCTCAGTTATTATGGGTCATGATATGTAGGTTAGGTTACTCTATGGGGCCCAGCTATTGTGTTTCTCCTTTAGATTGTACACAGAGATAGACAGAGAGCAGTCAGGCATGTTACACCAAATCCTGTGTGCCCACATCAAGGATCACATCAATTTACTTAGAACTCTGTAAGAACTTCAAACTTCTTAGAACTTCTAAGAACTTCGAACTTCGAACTTCGAACTAAGAACTTCGAACTTCGAACTTCGAACTAAGAACTAAGAACTAAGAACTAAGAACTTCTTAGCCTATCAAATAATCTTTTGCACTAATATAGCTGTCTCAACAGCTGCAAAGAATTAAATTTTCCCAGCTGCCAGACACATTAGAATGTACTTAAAGTACTTAAAGCCTCCGGGCAAAAATAGACCTGCCATCATGGGTTTGTGACTTTTGGGTGGCATGGGCCACTTTTTTAATTTAATCTAGATCTTAGTTTTTCACAGGCTCATCTGCTTTGATTCTCGTCAGCAGGCCATGGAAAAATAACTCAATAAAAATTATTCTGAAACCTAGTACTTGGTACAGTGTGGAACAGTGATGATTTTCAAAGATTGTACAACAATTTAAATAAAATAGTGTAGACAAAACACTGTTTCCTGTCAACAGTAAGGAATGGCCTCATCAAAACAAAAGGATGAAGCATCCCTAAATAATTAAAGGCTCACCTCAAATCAAAGTCAGAAGAAAAAGAGAAGCTGCAGGACTTGGTTTGAACACCCTAACCCTCGCTGTGCAGGTCTCGAAGTCAGGGCTCTGGAGGGCAAAGGCCTGAAAAGTGGTTGAGGAAATCCAAAACTGCTGTTACAAGTTTGACTTCTTACAAAACCAAGATGTTTCCTTCAGTTATGTGTGTCATGAAAGGTGATGGAGATGCAGAGCTGTTTCGCAGGCGCTGCAGAAGCCCTGTTTTTTTTCCTCTCTCTCTCTGAGGTATGCACCAGCGCAAGAGAGGAAGTAGTGGTCGCCGGCGTTATGTACAAGTGCGAGGGCGTCACAGCCAGCCATTTAAATATCACTGCTCCGGCCCCGCGTGTCCACACAGTCTCTAATCAGACTCGGGAGGGACAGAGGCAAACCTGTAAAGCCCCTGGGGAAAAGAAAGACAAAACAAAAACCTTGACTTCAGTTATTTTGTTTGTTGTTTTCTTTTGAAAAAGACAACTGTAACTACAGTGGCTGTTGGAATTTGCCCCTCAGTTCTTGGGATGCCAGCTTCAAAGTAACATCAGTTTCTGAGGACGCCTTTCTGTACTCAGAGCGTTTTGCCTCTTGTGAACGGCTTTGTTACTGCCAGCTTTGGGAGGTCCAGTGGCATTCTTCTCTCACGAAGGTCTTCCTGATTGGTTCAACAAATCCCTGTGAGGCAATGGCCGACCCCAGTGTGGTTTATCCTTCAGTCTTTGTGGTGGATGGGAAGACCAGTGCAACTTTTCCCCCGGATCCACGGAAAAAACGGACAGGGACGGCACAGACACTCCTCTTTGTGCTGCTGATCCTGGTGCTGCTTGGCATACTGATTGAGGGTTATTTCATCTTCCAGCTGTGGACAAGAAACTCTGTAAGTACCGCCTGCAGTATTTGGATTGGCATCAAGGGCTAAACTAACACTCTTTTTAATGGGACCTATTTTAACCTTTTGCCAAGAATCTAAACCATATAATAGTCAATTAATAATAGGGTCATTTTCAATCAAATTGTTTTTCTCCAGAGTTAAAATGTTTTAATGTAGTTAAAAATCTGAAAGTGAACAGTAAAGATTAAATATACAAATAGAAAAAGATACATAAGAAATGGTCTTTATTATGGGACATATGCTTTTGTCAAGATTTCTGCAGTATACAGTGAATTGTACTACAACTTGACTTTTATAGGGCTGCTTTTCAAAGCATTTTGTTACTCTCCATTTTCTGAAAGTGGCTGCAAAATTGTTAAAGGGCAGTTCTCTTGCAATTAAATGTTGTAGACATTGGAACAAAATGTCAAAGCTTTCACTCTTAAACATGATCATATTCTGAAAAGTGCTGCACTTGAGCACGCACTGGAAAGTTGCTGTATATGCTAGAAAAAAATGATGTGGATACAACATTGAAGATTTATGAAGTTAAATTATATGTACTTTTCTTATGAACATTTAAAATTTCTAGATGCTAAAAAGCTTAAATTATCATTTTCTTAAAGGGGAATGGCTTTTATATGATTTTTGGAAACCATAAAAGCTCTCATAGCATTTTTTATATAGTTCAATGGGTTAACAGCTAAACAGCTCTGTAAATCTATGTTGTACTGCAGAGGGACATTGTGCAATGCAATTGAAAATAATCTGGTTTTACTGTAAGAGGTCAGATCTTCCTGCAGAAGAGATTTTATGGTAGCTCTTCTGTAGACAATTATAATTGTTTATCTGTCCATACCCAGGTAGACAGTGTTACAAAAGACAAAAAAAAGGAATTTTAGTACGTTAACATACTTTTAATACGTATTAGAAATGCATTTTAAATTTCAAATGGTCAAAATCCAAAATTAAGGACAACACCAGAATGTGTGTATGCCAGAATTTATTATCAAAAAAATGTGGAGAATTTTGAATGCCCATGTTTTTGGTACATTATGTTATGCTACAGTAAATTTATTAGACATGTTTCACAGACTGGGATTAATAAAAAGACTGCACTAGCTAAACCAGTAGGAAATTCCCATGGTCTGTATGCAAATCCTCTTTGATAGTCTATCTATATTCATAAGGAGAGTTACACTGGGTATTGATATCCTCAGTTAACTAGGTTTGGCTGCGATAGTATAGCAGGTAGGGAACTGCTCACATTAGCTAAAGCTGTCCATTGCATGTCCAACAACTGGTATAGCACAAGACTTAGGTGTCCATCAAGCACTGTTAGTCATATTGTTAATCATTTCCTGTCACTGACCACTATTAGTTACCAATCGATTGCTCGTTATCCATTATTTCTGTTAATAAACAGCACAGCATCAAGTATGGTGCACTCTGCCATTCACAAACTCAATGATGAACCCCTCAAAAAATGTCTTACAAAGGTGGTTGATGATTGTGATGAAATGTGATGTATATGCTAACACAAAAAATAAATCAGCCTAACGTCCAGTACAGAATGCATGTAATTTAGAGCATGCCTTAACTACAAATGTATTGCACTCAAAATACATGGGGCATTAATGCATTTAGTTTCCACAGAGCTGTGGTGGCTTTTCAAAGAACCATTTTGAAAGAGGAAGATGTTCACTTGTTCCCCTTTGTAAAAACATGTTGCTGGTCTGTTCCTAGGGTCATACTTTGGCTCGTTGTTCAGTGACCATACACCTCCATGTCCCAGCATGTGCTCTCTTTTTCCGTTCCTTCGTTTTTCTGATGGAACTTTGTGACTCAAAGCTTGACCTTACTTTCCTTTACTCACTTGTGCTGTTCTGTAGCAGACTGACCCCCCCTCTGACAGCAGGTCCTTTCATAATTTCATAATGTGCTCCTAAAAAATCATCTTGATTTTGCTTGCCCCCCCAAAAAAAAATGTTTCAGTAATTTGTAGAACCTTTTTTTCATTTTCCCTTTTCTTTTTATTTTGTAAAGCATTTGGAAATGCAAGTGGTACGGAGATTCTATTTGAAAGGAAACACATTTTGTTCTGCAATGGTGTTTGATCTACAGTAGCTGGGAGATGGTTATCTACATAATTCAATCAGCTCCAAGCTTTTTTACTCACTTTTGTTACCTTCCTGCCTTTATCAAGAGTCATATTAAGGAAACGTTAACTATAAGGCTCACATTACAATAAACAAGTGCCTTGCCATGTTCATTCAACAGACAATATAGTACACGAGCAAATAGCAGTTAAACATGGTAGAGACAGTCAAATTCTTGAAATTGAATTTTTCAGTTTGGATCATAGCATTTATTATCTGCCTCTTCCAGTCTTGTGGATTGAAAATATATACAATTTCTATTCATCACTGCCTGAATATATTAAAAGAAAGAAAAATCCAAGATAATTGGATAAAGTTTCCATATTTTCTATATTAGATCAGTGTGTTAGGCCATGAATTTGAGGATGCCACCTGCTAGTTTGTTTCCTGAAAATCTTCATTCATTGTAGTTGGAAATCTAAGCACAGAGAAATATAATCCTAGCCTTATTCTTTTTTACAGGAAAAAGATAAGATCAGCATCAATGAAAACAGTCCTCAAAAGTCAATCCAAGGTAAGTGTTATTTAAGATAATTTAAAGTAAAAACAAGTTGAAGAGAAGATATATTAATTAAGAAGTTGTATCATGGTTTTGTTAACTGCATGAGAATAAAAAAGGTGGTTATGTAGTCAAAAAACTTTTTACTTAGAATTCCAATGTATTCTTATGGTAAAGCTTTCATTTAAATGAATATTCCACTTCATATGTGCTGAGCTGGAGGCAAAGATTATAACTTACTGTCTTCATAATAAGGTTTTGGAGAGATGCACATGGTAAAAATGCACTTTGCTTCTTAGCTGAAATGAATTGTTTTAGCATCTAAGGCTTGAAGGATTAAGAAAACTGCTCAGTAGTATGAGTACAGAATCAGCCTTCCACAGTAGAAGATTATGATTAAGTCTAACATGGGTAAAATTAATCTTTTTAATTAATCTTAGTATATTAGTATATCGCCTTACATGCCATACATAGAGTACTGTATATGAATATGTTCAATGCGAGATCCATGTTATTTTCTTTCAGAGCATTCAGTTTTCAAGTTATTTTTTACAGAATTCAGCCTAAGTATTCAATTTATGTGCAATTTATTTTTCTCTTTTCGACACAGATGAAAATGAAATAAAATCAATCCAAGCTGAATGGGATCAGAAAAAGCCCAAAGCTCATGTTACAGGTAAGAGTAGTAAATTAGATCACTAAGCTTATAAATACTGGAACTCCGAGTTTGTGAAATTGTGCTGAAGACGTTTAGGATATATTTGTTGCATGTGTATGTGAATGACATTTAAAAACCTTGACTCCATGCTATGCCGATGACCTGGTTATCAGAGCAGAATACAGGGCTGCCTGAGTCCTTTTCTCTGAGTGCTTCTAAAATGTAATGTTTTAATGTTTAATGTTTCTTTATTAGCCCTATACAATTTCTTGCATTAGGAATTCGTCTTTTCGCATACCCCAGCTTTTCTCCATGGAGACACAGACACACAGACAAGTGAGAGAGAGTCCATGTGCTGTCAGAATCACAGCCAGCAGGTGTTTGGTTTGCTTTTCCAGATCTCACTAACACTTTGCACATGGGTGATTGTGGGTGACTAAGCCCCCCCTGCCTTGAAATGCGAAGATGTGTCACTATGACCTGAGACAGACTCAGCCTTATAAGCGTGAGACACATTTGTCCTTTACAGACCAACTCTATTACCAACCCAGAGCTTTAACCTGTGTTTATAAATAACTATGTTGCTGACATAGAAAACGCCAAAGACCCGGCCTTTAAAAACCGCAGGCTGAGCCGAAATTTCAGCTTCTGCAGTATGTAGTTGTAGCGCAGGTGGGCTACCCATATATTTTCCAGGTGGAACTCCCCCTCTGATACTTAGTGGAGATGTGGCTCAGGCTTAGTCTAAAGAATGAAAATTTAAATCTGGATGTATTTCTTGAAGATGGCCCCTGATTTTGAAAACACCCTTAACAAGCTGAAAACGAAATCTGGCATGGATACGTTGTTTTGGTGACACTGCCTTCCATTGCAGGTCTGCATATAATGTACTGCTGAGTCTATGTTTCAGACATATTTTTAAAATGCAGTATTAAAACTAGCTTTTCATGAAGTTTGGCTTATACAGTATGTCTTCTAAGATGATAACAGTAGGGTTTTGTCGAATAAGAGTTGAAGCTGTTTGATTAATATATTACTAAATTATATGCATTATTAGTCATGCATATGATCATATAATAAAAGGTACACTAAAGATTATATACTTCTATTGTTGAGTACATAATACATAAGTTGATAAGATAGCAAATAGGAAGTAATGCATCACTAAATTTAAGATCTTAACTATCAGAAGTGTAATAGGTATGTAAATATTCACAGTATTATCATATTTGTATAGTATTATAGTATATTACTATGTATAGTATATAATATTATATATAATCATTTGTTACATTTTAATGGTTTTGTAAATGAAGTTGAAAAGATTTCATCAGCAGTTGAAAAGCTGACCCACTTTTTCAATCTCCAAATAAATTCCTACTGGAGTTCTTAAATGATATCTGCATGAAAAAATACAAAACATTAAAACATTTTCTCTAATGTATTCCGTCTCTTGCAAAATTTGTTACTACATTTTGACATATTTTAGAAAAATGTCATTTTTTCATCAGATGGTACTGACTAGTGAATTTAGTTATTCAAGTTACCTAATGTTGCATAATCAATTCAATGAGATAATATGAATTATAAATTAAGCCAAGTTAAAATTATGTACTGACAAATTTAGAAACGTTTGTTGATTACCATTACAAAATTAACATTTCTATGCAGAAAAAGAGTGCTTAGAAAAAGTGCTTAAAAACTCAAAGGAATGGAGTGTTTAATTCTCACACTGGGTAATCTTAAACACTGGGAAATATTAAAAGTTACTGATGAAGTTAAACTTTTAAACCAGTGGACTACTTTTAGAATTAATTATGATTCAACCTAAGAATACAATTAGAAATGACAAGAGTGTATTCAGGACTAAAACATTGAGAAGGCTGTAAACTAGCAAGAAGTAGTTCATTCTACTTAAAAGAAAAGGTTAAAGGAAAAATGCTAAAATGTTTTAACTGTACAACATTCTTCAGATGTGAGGACTCACACTATTCGCACCACTAATCAACTTTGACAATTACTCAAAAGTTAAGGTCAATTTACTCTGGAGCGGAAATTTAAATTACAAACAGCAAATAATTGTAATACAGTAATGAGTAATACATATACTTTTAGTCCTGTCTTTAAAAGATTAGGAAATATTGAAAAAAATAAAAAAGCATTAGTTATGTACAGCACCATTAGAATCTAAATCAGATCAACCTTTATTTTTTTAAACGTAATTGACAAAACTACAGCCATGGTCATTTGATATTTACTTAAAGGATATACTGTAGTTATGAAGCATTTTACACTGTATGTAAACAGATGGTCTTGATCTAGGAAAGGATTCATTGTCAGAGTAACAGTTTGGATGCTTCTTGTTTTCCAGGCTGTAACTGCAATGCCAGTAAAGAAGGAAAGATGTTCTGGGAATCTGTGAATGGAGATGCCTTCACACACACGATAGACTATAAAGATGGTTCCTTGGTCATCAAGACTGAAGGCTTTTACTTCATTTACTCAAAAATCTTTTATGGTCAGCTGGATTGTAAAACCTCAGCCAAAGGAACCTTTAAGCATGGTGTTTACAAGTCAACACAGAGGTATCCGGGAGACCTGGAGCTCATGAGCTCCAAGAGGTACCACTGCAGAAATGATAAAGAAGACATGCTAGACAACAGCTTCCTGGGAGGAATCTATCATCTTACAGAAGGGGACCAGATTTTTGTTAAAGTGAATCAAAAAAACCTTATCCGGCTGCAGTCCACCTCTGAAAACTTTTTTGGAGCTTTTTTGATTTAGCTTTCTTCCTTTTAGCTCTAGTCCTTTTTAAAACAGAACCATGGAAGCAACTAATTTCTACATTCAGCTCTATGTCTCTTAGCTCAGCAGTGGCGTCTGGTTGGTTGGAGGCAGGAGGTATTGACAAATGCTGCTGTAGAATGTCATTGATAAGATTGTTGACTGGATCTTATCTCTCGGCATTTGACAGTTAATTAAACCCAGAACACACACATACTGGTCCTAACTACAGTAATCAATCTATTATCGGCAAGGTAACATACTGGCCTTACCATTTGAAATTTCTTTTGAAGATCTAATCATTTATATTGAACAGAGAGGAACACACTAGTGGACAGCCTCAAGTATGTCATTTAAACGATTAGAGATGTCAATCTTCATTAGGCCATTTAGACATAAAGAATCATCCTTCTTGAGCGACAGAAATTAAGCTCTCCTTTTAAAATTGAAAATATGACTATAGTACGAAAGTGCTAGAGAGAATAGAGTACTATCAGAGCTGTGACTTTTGGGCAGGTCCTAAGGATTATTGAGGAATACCAAAGGGGTCTTTGATAGCTAGAACCATGTGCTCTTAAGAGACTTCTCAATGTGAATGTACTGCTCTCCAGGAATGTGTGACCTAGATGTCGTAAAGAGACAGTGAGTGGGACACATGATACAATCCTGCTTTTTTTGCACTGTAATAAGATATTTGAATTCTGGGTAGTATAATGTAACAGAACCCCATTAAATGTATGTTTTTCAATAATATTGCATTTCAAGTGTTTAAGCACCTAGATTTAGTCTTTCTATTCATTGGTTTCAATATCTTTATACTGTAGGTCACTTACATATAATTTATATATTATCATAAATATGCAATATTTCTTGTTTGTCTTGTCTTATAACAAAAATAGGAATGTACAGAATTTAACAATTTAACCTGCTTGGTTGAGCTACAGATTGAATGTATTTTTATCATATTTCTAATGTACAGATTTCAGCTGTTGAAATGTACTTACAGTTAAACCTGAAGATTGTAAAGATTAAGTTACTTACCTGACAGATGCCAATAGATGCCAACTCTTTCAGTATGACTGGGACATCTTTAGAAGTTCTCATTTTGTATGTTTTTTTATTATAATTTTAAATAGGATTGCAGATAACCTGGTCTAATGTTTAATGTGACTTGAATGTTAAATCTAAAGGTACAGTACCTGATATTCAGGTCAGTAAATATTTGCAAAAACATATTTATATATATAGTATATATTATTAACAGAAATTATACATTGCAGTTGTATATATTTCATTTGTCTGTTTGTATGGGATCATCATGGGATTGTTTGTTAGATCATCAACGAAGTCTAGGGACACCTACCTTTAATTATTATATTATTGTATGGATGTGCATTGACTACATAGAAAGCTGTTTCAATCTGCCTGTCAAACGCTACCTTGATCTCAGTGTGTGGAGATGTGAATGGATTAAGGTTTTAAAATTGATTTTTTCTCACACAAAGTGGACATTTTACTCTTACAAAGCTTGTGGTTTATACTATGGTAAAAGCATGGGAATATATACTGATGGAAAAAAGAAAAGCAACATTTTCTGGAATGAGAATACTATAGTTATAGCTTATGTACTTTCACAAAAAGTTGTCAATTTGTTTTAGGCCCTCTGACAAGTAATGCAGCTTGTGCAGTGAGGCATTGCAACTTGCCAATCACACGAAAGCTCGTTAGGTGCACTTTAACCCGACGAGGTCCAGGTGGAACCCCAACTGCAGAGACGGTTTCAACAGACTGGCAGGACAGATGAGCATCTAGGATCTGGTTGCCCTCAAGTAACCACACCAGAGCAGGACTGTGTGATGTGATGACAGATCGTTTCAGATCTGCCACCCATACTGCTACTGAAACTGCCAGCAGACACAATGCCCACATCAGTGACAGGACAGTAAGGCTCCATGCTGCTGGCCTTAGAGCAAGGCGACCTGTCGGAGGCCCTCTGCTCACACCTCCTAGACGTCACACCCTGTCTGGCTTGGGCCAGACAGAGGCTGCGATGGACTCAGCAGTGCCATCAGGTCCTCTTCACGGATGAGTCACTCTTCAGCCCGTTCCATGCAGACGGAAGGGCCAGAGTGTGGAGGAGGAGGTGTTGCATTTCTTTTTTCCATCAGTATATATTAAGACCGTTATATCACTGTAAGTCACATCAGAATTTTGTTTAAAGAAAAATCAGACCAAGCAGGGAATGGATCAAAGTCTAAAAATGTCACAGTGTGGAATAATGCTTCTGGAGTTTCAGTTTTTTAGTTTAAGTTTTTCAACAAATCACTGCAGTGTATCTGTAACACATACTGTGTTCATTTTGTAAAGGATGTTTTTATTAATGTTGTTATTTATATTTCTATTCTGAAAATAATAAAACTTTGGAAAAAATGTCTAGTTATCCAACCCATTGATCCATTTTTAACTGCTTATTCCAATTTAGGACTGAGGGGGAATCAGTATTTTTTTGCAAACATCAGAAGAACATACAAACTCCACACAGATAGCTCCCAAGGTCCATAATTGAACACAGAGCCTTTTTGCTGTGAGGCAGCAATGTTAACCACTGTGCCACTGTGCTTCATTTATTCATAATTAATGTCACACATACCAAAAAACAACCACTCTATCTAGGGAGCAGGTTTTTTAACTCTCAGATGGACAAACAGGAATGATCATTGCAAGTAACAGTATGTGGTATTACAGTTGTGAGAAAAAGTTTTGAACCCTTAGGAATTACAGTAGATGGATTTCTGCAAAAATGGCTACTAAAATTATGATCTGATCTTCATCTAAGTTATAATAATAAATAAAGGCAGCCTTATTTAACAAACAACACACACAACATTTTACATACCTTTATTGAACATATGGTTTAAACCAGTGGTTCTCAAACTTTTTGGACCAAGTGCCACCACTGATCAAACCAAAGCATCCAAGTACCACCTACAAGTCATCTTCCCATAGGAACCACTGAAAATCTCAATGACCAACATGAGTGCGCACGCACACTCTCACATACACATATAATAAAAATAGAAACACTTATAAAAATAACACTGAGCACTTACCATTTCAGTGAGAGGGGTGAGCTTGTTTAGTTGAGCAAAGCCATGTCAGGGACGAGGGCAGTGAGCTTCAAACGCAGATCTGGCTCAGCATCCATTTTGCTGCGGTACTTTGTCTTGATTGCAATGAGAGCAGAGAAGCCTTTCTGACAAAGGTAGGTAGTAGCAAAAGGCATAAAAAATTGCACAGCCTTTAATGAGAGGGCTGGGTATTCACTCTGTCTTTGGATCCAGAAATGCAACAGTGACTGTCGTTTCAATTCTGACATCAGAGTCACATCAGATGATAACTCGAGCAACTTCTCTTGATCAGCAGAGGAGAGATTCTTGGGTATTCCTTCGGCATCAACAGTAAAGGGGTTCCTGATCCACTCTGGTGTGGCCTCAACTGGAAAATACTCTGAGAACTCTTCTTTCAATGACAAGAGGTGCACTGCAATCACATCTCGAACAGCAGCATCAAGTTCCACACCATAAGTGTGCAGATGGTTCTCCAGAGTTGGGAAAGCAGACACATCACCTGTGTTGATTTTATTAACAAAAAGTTGCAGCTTTTTCTTCATAGCAGTGATCTTGTCAGACACATCGAAAATGGTTAAAGAGAGCCCCTGCAGTCCCATATTCAGCTCATTCAAACGTGAGAATATATCAGCCAGGTAGGCAAATTTTACCAGCCACACTGGATCATCAAATAGACTTGTCAAGTGAGATTGCTGGTCATGCAAAAACATCTGTACATCAGAGTGCAGCTCAAAGAGCCTCGTGAGCACTCTGCCCCTTGATAAACATCTCACTTTAGTATGTAGCAAAACCTGCACATGTTCGCTGCCCATTGCATTACAAAGCACACTCAACAGACGTGAATTCATTGGTCGAGCCTTGATAAAATTCACAACTTTGACAGCAGAGTCTAACACAGATTTCAAATCCTCAGGCATTTTCTTGGCTGCCAAGGCCTCGTGGTGGATGCTGCAGTGCGTCCACTTCATATCTGGAGCAAACTCTCTAATTCGTGCAACTACACCGTTGTGTCTGCCTGTCATCGCTCTAGCACCGTCTGTACAAACTCCGACGCATTTTTTCCAGTCAATGTTATTCTCTTCAATAAATTCATTCAGAAGCTGAAATATGTGCTCTCCTGTAGTTCTTGTTGGTAGCGGCTTGCAGAACAGAAAGTCCTCATGCGACATGCCCTCAAACTCATATCTAACGTAAACAAGCAAATTTGCCAAATTGACAACATCTACAGACTCATCTAATTGCAGTGAAAAGCATCTGCTCATCTTTACGCGCTCTATCAGCGTACTTTTGACATCATCCGCCATATCAATAATTCTACGAGTGACTGTGTCATTCGAAAGGGCCACCAAGTCGAGCTGTTTAGCAGCTTTTTCTCCACACATAATAAGTATCAGCTCTTTTGCCAACGGTAAACAAAGTTCTTCACCGATAGTGTGGGGCTTACCTGCTTTAGCAATCCTGAAGCTTGGGTAGTAAGATGCTTCTTGGGCTTTGGAAATTGGAGTGGCACTGTTCCTTATGGTGGACTTGCGCTGCTTCAGATCTTTAAGTTTCCTTTGAAAAAAATCAGCAGGCTTATCTTTCAAGAGTGCATGCTTCGTGGTAAAGTGCCGCCTTAAATGTGCTGGCTTCATGCTTTCATTGCTGAGAATCTCACAGCACACGACACACTGTGGTCTTGGCTCTTCCTCTGTCCCAGTGTAAGTAAATCCCAAACTTAGATAATCTGGATCGTACCGCCTTGTAGCCATCTTCCAACGCTTGCTAACACTAGCAGGTTCAGCAGCAGAGTTTGTGTCAGTGGCCGATGTATAGTCCTCCTCAATCTCAACAGGTGTATGTGATCTGTCGGAGCTGGCATCATTACTTTTCGTGTCTATTCCCTTCAGCCAGGACATAAACTTGTTTTTTGCGAGGTATTCATTTTCAATCAATTGTTGATGAATGTGGTGCTGTTGGAGAAATATTTCCCCTTTCTCCTTTAAAGGCAGTCAGCAGTCCGTCTCAGAAGTTTTTTCTTTCATGCGCATGGATGCTAAACAGAGATACTTGATGTATTTTTCTCAAACTAACCCAGAACAGTCCTTAAATATTTTTCTGTTATCTATCACGCTTTCCCATGCTTACAAGATTGGCGTTTTCCAAGATCACAAACGTTCTCCTACCTCCGTATTTGCTGGAGATAGCTTTTTTTAAATACAATTGGTCACTTAAGTTCGTAGCATGCATTTCTATACTTTCCCATGCTTACAAGATTGGGGGTGTTCCAAGACCACGCACGTTCTCCTACCTCCCTATTTGCTGGAGATAGCTTTTTTTAAATACAATTGGTCACTTACTTCATAGCATGCATTCCTATAGAGTGGCATAGAATTACATCGTAACTCTGTATCCACTCAAATATTAGCGCGTGCTGTACCGTAGTATGTAGGCTGCGTATTCGACACGTATTAAAATCGTAAATATGAAAACCCATCCCGATTTTTCAGCACACAAAACACAGTTCCAGGGTCATATGGCATACCACCTGGCGGCACTCCACGTACCACTCCCGGTACACGTACCACAGTTTGAGAACCACTGGTTTAAACAATCAAGGTCATTGATGGAAAAAGTATGTGAACACTTACATTTCGTAACTAGTGGAACTTGCTTTATTGGCAACCAAACACGTTCTGTAGCTGCTGATCAGACCTGCGCAACAGTTATGAGGTATTTTCGCCCATTCCTCTATGCAAACCTGTTTCAGTTCCTTAGCTGTTCCCTTAGGGTTCTTTGTCACCAGTTTGAGGATTGTAAAGAGTGGCCTTGCTGATCTTTTTAAGATGCCCACTTCTAGGAAGAGTAGCTGAATTTCTTTCATTTGTAAACTATCTGCCTGACTGTGGACTGATGGAAGCCCAAGACTTTAGAAATCCTTTTATAACCCTTTCCAGTCTTATGAGCTTTAACAACTGTTCTTCTGAAGTTCTCTGAAATCTATTTTGATTGGGCCATATTGCACTTCAACAGAATTCTATTGTGAAGAGCAGATAACCCAGTCTTGTGTGATTTTTTATATGGCAGAGCAGGGCAAACCTACACCTGAATTGATTGGAACACCTGACTCATTGATTGGAATAGCTGACTCCAATTTCCCCTTTTTATCTGATGTCATTATCCTAGAGGTTTACATACTTTTTCCATCAATGACTTTGATTGTTCAAACAATTTGTTCAATAAGGAAATGACAATGTAAAACGTTGTATGTGTTGTGTGTTAAATAGGACTTTATTTATCTTTTATTTATTATTGTCTTTATTTATTATTATGACTAAGATGTAGATCAGATCACATTTTAGGAGCCATTCATGGAGAAATTTATATAATTCCTAAGTGTTCACAAATTCTTTCTCACAACTGTATGTGGTCCAACACACATACACATAGAACAATCATCATTATAAAGCTGATCTTGCTTACGTTAATATAGAATGATAGAAGTCTCACACATTTCACTAATACAACTAATTTCCAATTGAAAAGACAAAGGAGTTACATACTACATTTAATTCCAGATGTTTTTACATCGAAAGAAAGAAAAGCATTTGCACAGGAGGAAATTGTTTAGTAAATACATTCTTAACATTCACAGATGCAACTGTGCTGGACATCAGGGAATAAAACAAATGCAAAACAGGGGGCAAATCCAGCACCTCATCAGAAAAAAGATGCAAGGGATAACTTGCATATGCCTTGCTTTTGAGATGACATGTAAACTATGTACAGTAAGAATATATGGGTTAAAATATTTACAAGCTATCACCATACAGTATGAAACTTTTATAAGACAACAAATTTGCATATGTTATTGTATCTTTATGCATATATAAGCATATAAAATTAAAGGTTCAAAGGTTAACAAGGTTAAGGTTAATTATGCTCTGAGTGTCACGAAGATCAGGAGGAATTAGCTTTTCTTTGGTTCACATACACGGGTGATACCACTTATATCCAATACTGTGAGAGATCTGAAGGCATACCTGGATTTCATCTGTACAGTATGGTGATAAAAACAGGTTTGACCATTCAAAGCTTAAAAGTGTGTACATGATATCAATGGAGTTTGAAAAAAAAGGTCAGGAGAAGGTCAAACCCTAACCCTGCCCTATGAAGAAATCCCATGCTTCTTGCTCAGCAGCTCATGTGGTTTGTTTTTGCATCCCTCTCACCACCCCAATTTCACCTTTGCAGCAACTCTCGTCTCTCATTAAAGACATTGGAGTTACTCCAATACAGTTACTTCCACTTCAAATCACACCTCTTCTCTGCCTTAATTAGGATTTGACCTAAATTTTGTGAGTCTGTACAAACAACTGTGTGTGTTTGTGCACCATACAGTACATCAGTGAAATCTGACAAAGATTTATAAGAAATCACAGCACAAATCAAAAACATCACAGATGGACAAACTATGAGGTTCTAGGGCATAAAATACTCATCACACTTTCTATATAGAGCTGCCATTATTGAAGTGTAAACTCTACGTAACAACCTGCGGATTTCTCGATACAGCTTTTAGATAAGGACTATTAACACTACAGCACCCTTCACTCTTTACTCATGTGGCAGTTTAACTGATTATTTTCAATTTTCAGTGTTTTTCTTAAACTCATTTGGTGACAACACAAAGATCAGTAGTTTTCTTGTGTATCTTTGACTCCTTTATTCTACGCGTCAAGTGAAGGTGCAGAATGTGTCTCGAAGATTGGCTGGTCTAGAGAAAGATAACCACATGAGGATCCGAGGCTGAGTGGATCTCCTATGTAAATATAGATACTGTAGGTATCTGTGTGTCTGTCGCATAGATACTGAGCAAATATTTAGTACTGGAAGAGCTGACCTATTTAGGAAAAACAGCTACAGTACTTCAATGTGCAATAAAACCTTAATAGGTGTTTCAGTGATATTATTTATGTGATATAAGATTATTATATTATTATGTTCATAAGGTTAATATTGCCACGGTCAAAGTCAAGATCATACTTTGCTTATTTTGGGTGTCCTTCTTATCATTGTCCATTGTATTGCTGAATGTGTATTTTTTAACTGCATTACCTTTAGCAGTATCCAAGCAGCACTCACACATTGGCAGACCTCACAACCAGCACAAGAAAGATTTCAACAACATTACAAAGTGGCATATTAGTATAAGACAAAAGTAGTATACAGTATATGCACTGAAAGGCGTGATTCCAAAGACAGATTTCTATGGCACTTCATCTATGTGATAAGACCATTCTGTACATTTTCCCCTTAGATTCCTTTTACACTGTTATCAATTTTTGTGACGTCAATTTTGAACAGGCCATGTTCTTTCGCTTATAATGCTGCCTGTGGTTTTACCAGTGTTGTTCATCAAGCACAACGAGGAATAGCTCACAGTGTAGCACAGCGCCTCAAAGACTTCGAGATGGAAGGCACAGACAATGCCAATGGCACTAACCCACCAGGATGTCAGAAAGGAAGGAGCAGGGTTACCATTAAGTTGCTTTTGATGCTGATTGTACTGTTGCTAACTGGTGTTCTCTTTGAGGGGCTCTCCATTTACCGCCTGTGGATGAGAAACACGGTAAGTACTGTGTGTACTATCTGTACCCTTACAGCAAAATATATAGGGTATATTCGTTTGCAGTACATTTCCAGCATTTTAAATATATATTTCACAATTATATTTATAGGATAGTACACTAAATTACGTATACGGTATATTGTTCTAAAGCGCCATCAACGGTTACTTCATTTTAGTACATTTAAATGATTTGTATTCATCAGACACACCATGGCAAAATATAATTTCAATATATTTCATGGACTGTCAACATTGACGGACTTATGTATCCTAAAAGTTTATTCAAAATGGTGCATGCATTATAAACTTGAAACAATTCCTTAAAAAACGGATTTCATATTGTGGTTAACACAGTGTATTCTATATACAGTATTATCCAGATGTATATTAATCCTGAATATTTTTTCAGTAATGTTATATACATTTTTTACTTGGCGTATGTGAATGATTATTTTTTAAATCAAAACGTTAGCTTATTAAATATTTACTACAATTATGGTTTTG